CCTGTTCACGAGTTGGAAAACCATCCGCTTTGTTTGTGTTAACGTCAGACCAAAAAAAAATGTGGTTTACCAAAGAGCACTTCAATGAAACGGATAATTTGCGGATTCACTTTCATTTACTTAGAAAAGTTCAACTAAAAAACACTTCATTTTTGTAATCGAAATAAATTCATTACTGTTGTATAAGATCAAATTTTTCCTTATCAATTATAAAACAAACAAAAAATTTCTTCATCTTTCTCACAAAACCATCTGGTGGCGAAACGAAGTTCGTCGGGTTTGCTAGTACTGTATAAAATACACCAATGATATTCGAACCTGTCTGAACAACACAGCGTACTTTAGCCTAAGTTCGCTCGCATTGCATTTCTATACGACCTATCCCCCTATATAAGGCGCGTGGCCACAGCGTCAGTATTACAGATCATTAGATTTTTTTGAAAGAAGTATTATGTCCAGAATTGATTTTAATCATGCTTTTATAAAAGCAATCGGATAATGAGAAGTAAGTAAGCACCCATTAAAGAGTGTTTTTCTTTTTCAAAATTGTAAAATCTTTTTTATATATCATTTTGTGGGAGTCGTAATGATTATGATAATATATAAAATTAGAAACTCCCAACATAATAAAAAAATATAAATTTATTAACTATAAAAATATTTCGATATCAAAAATATACATGACATGTCCGAATGTTTTTTACAAATAAAAACCAGCCTGCTTGATATCGCCACACACTCCCTGACCAGTGTTGATCTCACAGTTTAAAAAAAAAAAAAAAAAAAACACAGGGAAACACGTTATAAAAATGTGGTGGGAAAGCAGATTATAGCAGACCAGTGTTGTAATACTGGTTAATTACAAATTTCCATGTTTCGTCAGCAGATCCACCGTATGTGGTGATTCGACCTGCCATCAACTCCATATTCTGCATAAGGTTCTGATTAATGAAAAACATGTGGAAAATTTCCTGTACTTCGATGTCGGTGAACTTCTAAGATTCAGCCTCCATCTAATTGGTATTAGTTATATCAGAATTACTTAATGTTTAGAATGCATAATTTATGGGTACAGTTTCCATTTCTGCAAGCGTTGCATTCGTATCTGATGAGTTCCGATCAGAGAAAGAAGTTGGCTCTTTATCCAAATCAGGATCATTGGTTTCTTTGACATAAGAGTCCAGAATTGTGGAATCCAATAAATTATGTCAAATTTTGTTTTGATTCGTCGTTGTCACCGATAATGGGAGGTAGCATTATAAGACGATTTGTTGAGTTAACAGAGAAAGAGAGGTTGAATTGCATTCCAATGAAAAGTTCAGGCTCCAAAACACTGAGGTCTGGGTATACCAAATGAGTAACTTCGGAAGTCTGATCCAGATAGTAAGTGCGTTAACTATGATGGATTGGACTGGACATACCTTATAGGTCGTCACTGAAGACCAGTGATTATGGTGCTGCGTCAAAATCATTTTTTCTCAAATCTTCGAAAAATAAAACTCCTTTATCTTCATCTCCATCGTCGTGAGTCACCAATGTGGGAGTCGTAATGATTATGATAATATATAAAATTAGAAACTCCCAACATAATAAAAAAATATAAATTTATTAACTATAAAAATATTTCGATATCAAAAATATACATGACATGTCCGAATGTTTTTTACAAATAAAAACCAGCCTGCTTGATATCGCCACAATTTTAATAAACTTTAAAATCAGAGCGCAAAATCATTTAAGAAGCAGGATAATTCCCGGGCAGGGGCATGGAAAAAAATTTAGGATGTCGGTAAGATATCAAAAGATGGATGTGCAGACAAGCACTGCACTAAAAAATAAATATGATACGCTCTCGAACCGTACAGACATGGATACCGATTGGGAGAGTGAAGATTACAGGAAAGTGACACCGCGAAAGAGGGTGAAAAAGAAAAAGGAACCTGAGAGCGTAAATGTCCCTCGGCGTCACTCGAGAGACCACACTTTGTATAGAAAAGTTTGATAAATATTTCTAAACATTGAATTTTCTTACACACACACATACACATATATGTATATATATATATATATATATATATATATATATATATATATATATATATTATATAGATATTATATATATATATATATATATATATGTGTGTGTGTGTGTGCGTGTATGTGTATGCGGCGACACCTAAGTACAGCCCTGCATTAAGTACGGCCCTGTGTCATTTGGGATGCGCGCACGCATCAAGTTGGCCGCCTCCGTCCGATATAAAAGGGAGAAGACCTAAGCAAAGGGCCTATTCTACCTTTGGCAGCCAACTGTGATATACCAATACAATACAAATATTGTATCTATGTTCCACCACAAATAAACTATAGCAAACCATATCAAACAGTCTTTAATCTATCAACCGCTTCATTGGTGACCCGACATGATCTGATAACGGCTACAAATAGAGTGAGTGTTTTTTTTTTTAAATTTAATATGCAAACCTCTTTTGTGAAGTGTTTTAAAAGTGATTTTATTTTTTTGTGATAGAAGTGTTGTTTTTATTTTGCATTTTTAAGTTAATTTACAATGAAAAATCAAGTAGATAAAAAAGCCGTGCTAGGCCCTTCCAGTGAAAGTGAAGCGACAGGTACACTAGGTATAGCCAGACAAATTCCGCAATTTTGGTACGACGAACCGCAATTATGGTTCGCGATGATCGAAGCCTATTTTAATGAAAATCGGATAAAAAGTGAAGAAAGTAAATATGAACACATGTTATCATTTCTGGACAAACGATTAGCTAGAAAAGTCGAAGACATCATAATTAATCCGCCGCCGGTCGACCCATACACAAAGTTAAAAACTAAGGTAATTAGACGGCAATCGCTTTCGGAAGACAAAAAAATTAGACGATTCCTGCAACACGAAGAATTAGGAGAACATGAGCCATCGCAATTCCTAAGACATTTAGAGTCGTTAGCCGGCACAACAATTGATCAAGTATTTCTAAAAACGCTTTGGCTTCAAAAATTGCTTACCTTCACGCAACAGGTCTTGAAAGCACATCAATCAATGAGTGTTGAGGACTTAGCCGCTATAGCCGACAGCATCGAAGTCACCAGTGCACCTGTGGGACCGAGATTAAACAACCTACAAACGACATTGCATTATTGTCACAACGTATTGAGGACTTCACGAAAACTATGACAATGCTGTTAAGTAATCAACAAAGTAGAGGTCGTCGACGCTTTCGATCAAGAAGCCAATCGCGTATTCGTAGTAACAGTAGAGGACACTATAGATTATGGTGGTATCACCACAATAAAGGCGGCTAGTGTTTGCCTACCATCATTCCGCCGCATGTTTGTCATATGGGTCATTCTTTTACAAATCGTACGGATTTTGGTAAAAAAAAAATTGACATTTTAGAATTGGCTGATTTTTTTTTATAGATATTATGGATAAAATCATTTGACACGTATTTCAGGATTTTGCCGGCAAAAATTTTTTTTCGTTGATATTCACGATTGAAATATTGCCAATTTTCTCAATTTTCATGAACCTGCTCTGCATTATGTTAATTATCTTCAGTTGTGTTGATCAGATCAGTATTGTTGTTTTTTTGTTATATTCATTATAAACTCAACTTTGAAGTAATTCAAAAAAAATAATGTTTTTGAAATTATTTTAACAATAATAACAATTGATTGTTTACATTGGTTTTACATACGGGCGCCGCAACTTAAATCGATTACGTAAAAAAACATATTGTTTCTATTTTTATCCACTTAAAAATTATTTTTACTATTCGATGGGGTAGCTGTTACATCGGAAGATATTAAATGTTTTCGAGCGCAAGTCGCGCCGCGCGTCCGTTTGAAAGACGCATCGCGCGTATGATAATGTTTTTGCAATTATTTTAACAATAATAACAATTGATTGTTTACATTGGTTTTACATACGGGCGCCCCAACTTAAATCGATTGCGTAAAAAACCACATTGTTTCTTTTTTTATCTACTTAAAAATTATTTTTACTATTCGATGGGTGGCTGTTACATCGGAAGATATTAAATGTTTTCGAGCGCAAGTCGCGCCGCGCGTCCGTTTGAAAGACGCATCGCGCGTATTAAATGAGTACAAGTAATTTGTACTTTTGCGAAAGTAAGTAATTTGTAATTTAGCGAACAAATGAATGAATAAAACTCATTCATTTGTCGCTAAGTTATACCTAAAACATTTTTTTTTAATTTTCAAATTTTTTTACATGCTCTCCCCATACAAACTTTGATTGAATTGCGCTCTATCTAAACGTTAATATTAAGAGCTAAAACTTTCAGAGAATTGTTTTTTATCTATTTGGAACCATTTGAGCCCCTGGGAGCAAGGAAATTCGAAAATGATCATTTTAAGGACCACCCTAATATATATATATATATATATATATATATATATATATATATATATGTGTGTGTGTGTGTGCGTGTATGTGTATGCGGCGACACCTAAGTACAGCCCTGCATTAAGTACGGCCCTGTGTCATTTGGGATGCGCGCACGCATCAAGTTGGCCGCCTCCGTCCGATATAAAAGGGAGAAGACCTAAGCAAAGGGCCTATTCTACCTTTGGCAGCCAACTGTGATATACCAATACAATACAAATATTGTATCTATGTTCCACCACAAATAAACTATAGCAAACCATATCAAACAGTGTTTAATCTATCAACCGCTTCATTGGTGACCCGACATGATCTGATAACGGCTACAAATAGAGTGAGTGTTTTTTTTTTTAAATTTAATATGCAAACCTCTTTTGTGAAGTGTTTTAAAAGTGATTTTATTTTTTTGTGATAGAAGTGTTGTTTTTATTTTGCATTTTTAAGTTAATTTACAATTAAAAATCAAGTAGATAAAAAAGCCGTGCTAGGCCCTTCCAGTGAAAGTGAAGCGACAGGTACACTAGGTATAGCCAGACAAATTCCGCAATTTTGGTACGACGAACCGCAATTATGGTTCGCGATGATCGAAGCCTATTTTAATGAAAATCGGATAAAAAGTGAAGAAAGTAAATATGAACACATATTATCATTTCTGGACAAACGATTAGCTAGAAAAGTCGAAGACATCATAATTAATCCGCCGCCGGTCGACCCATACACAAAGTTAAAAACTAAGGTAATTAGACGGCAATCGCTTTCGGAAGACAAAAAAATTAGACGATTCCTGCAACACGAAGAATTAGGAGAACATGAGCCATCGCAATTCCTAAGACATTTAGAGTCGTTAGCCGGCACAACAATTGATCAAGTATTTCTAAAAACGCTTTGGCTTCAAAAATTGCTTACCTTCACGCAACAGGTCTTGAAAGCACATCAATCAATGAGTGTTGAGGACTTAGCCGCTATAGCCGACAGCAGCGAAGTCACCAGTGCACCTGTGGGACCGAGATTAAACAACCTACAAACGACATTGCATTATTATCACAACGTATTGAAGACTTCACGAAAACTATGACAATGCTGTTAAGTAATCAACAAAGTAGAGGTCGTCGACGCTTTCGATCAAGAAGCCAATCGCGTATTCGTAGTAACAGTAGAGGACACTATAGATTATGGTGGTATCACCACAATAAAGGCGGCTAGTGTTTGCCTACCATCATTCCGCCGCATGTTTGTCATATGGGTCATTCTTTTACAAATCGTACGGATTTTGGTAAAAAAAAAATTGACATTTTAGAATTGGCTGATTTTTTTTTATAGATATTATGGATAAAATCATTTGACACGTATTTCAGGATTTTGCCGGCAAAAATTTTTTTTCGTTGATATTCACGATTGAAATATTGCCGATTTTCTCAATTTTCATGAACCTGCTCTGCATTATGTTAATTATCTTCAGTTGTGTTGATCAGATCAGTATTGTTGTTTTTTTGTTATATTCATTATAAACTCAACTTTGAAGTAATTCAAAAAAAATAATGTTTTTGCAATTATTTTAACAATAATAACAATTGATTGTTTACATTGGTTTTACATACGGGCGCCGCAACTTAAATCGATTACGTAAAAAAACATATTGTTTCTATTTTTATCCACTTAAAAATTATTTTTACTATTCGATGGGGTAGCTGTTACATCGGAAGATATTAAATGTTTTCGAGCGCAAGTCGCGCCGCGCGTCCGTTTGAAAGACGCATCGCGCGTATGATAATGTTTTTGCAATTATTTTAACAATAATAACAATTGATTGTTTACATTGGTTTTACATACGGGCGCCCCAACTTAAATCGATTGCGTAAAAAACCACATTGTTTCTTTTTTTATCTACTTAAAAATTATTTTTACTATTCGATGGGTGGCTGTTACATCGGAAGATATTAAATGTTTTCGAGCGCAAGTCGCGCCGCGCGTCCGTTTGAAAGACGCATCGCGCGTATTAAATGAGTACAAGTAATTTGTACTTTTGCGAAAGTAAGTAATTTGTAATTTAGCGAACAAATGAATGAATAAAACTCATTCATTTGTCGCTAAGTTATACCTAAAACATTTTTTTTTAATTTTCAAATTTTTTTACATGCTCTCCCCATACAAATTTTGATTGAATTGCGCTCTATCTAAACGTTAATATTAAGAGCTAAAACTTTCAGAGAATTGTTTTTTATCTATTTGGAACCATTTGAGCCCCTGGGAGCAAGGAAATTCGAAAATGATCATTTTAAGGACCACCCTAATATATATATATATATATATATATATATATATATATATATATGTGTGTGTGTGTGTGTGCGTGTATGTGTATGCGGCGACACCTAAGTACAGCCCTGCATTAAGTACGGCCCTGTGTCATTTGGGATGCGCGCACGCATCAAGTTGGCCGCCTCCGTCCGATATAAAAGGGAGAAGACCTAAGCAAAGGGCCTATTCTACCTTTGGCAGCCAACTGTGATATACCAATACAATACAAATATTGTATCTATGTTCCACCACAAATAAACTATAGCAAACCATATCAAACAGTCTTTAATCTATCAACCGCTTCATTGGTGACCCGACATGATCTGATAACGGCTACAAATAGAGTGAGTGTTTTTTTTTTTTAATTTAATATGCAAACCTCTTTTGTGAAGTGTTTTAAAAGTGATTTTATTTTTTTGTGATAGAAGTGTTGTTTTTATTTTGCATTTTTAAGTTAATTTACAATTAAAAATCAAGTAGATAAAAAAGCCGTGCTAGGCCCTGCCAGTGAAAGTGAAGCGACAGGTACACTAGGTATAGCCAGACAAATTCCGCAATTTTGGTACGACGAACCGCAATTATGGTTCGCGATGATCGAAGCCTATTTTAATGAAAACCGGATAAAAAGTGAAGAAAGTAAATATGAACACATATTATCATTTCTGGACAAACGATTAGCTAGAAAAGTCGAAGACATCATAATTAATCCGCCGCCGGTCGACCCATACACAAAGTTAAAAACTAAAGTAATTAGACGGCAATCGCTTTCGGAAGACAAAAAAAAATTAGACGATTCCTGCAACACGAATAATTAGGAGAACATGAGCCATCGCAATTCCTAAGACATTTAGAGTCGTTAGCCGGCACAACAATTGATCAAGTATTTCTAAAAACGCTTTGGCTTCAAAAATTGCTTACCTTCACGCAACAGGTCTTGAAAGCACATCAATCAATGAGTGTTGAGGACTTAGCCGCTATAGCCGACAGCAGCGAAGTCACCAGTGCACCTGTGGGACCGAGATTAAAGAACCTACAAACGACATTGCATTATTGTCACAACGTATTGAAGACTTCACGAAAACTATGACAATGCTGTTAAGTAATCAACAAAGTAGAGGTCGTCGACGCTTTCGATCAAGAAGCCAATCGCGTATTCGTAGTAACAGTAGAGGACACTATAGATTATGGTGGTATCACCACAATAAAGGCGGCTAGTGTTTGCCTACCATCATTCCGCCGCATGTTTGTCATATGGGTCATTCTTTTACAAATCGTACGGATTTTGGTAAAAAAAAATTGACATTTTAGAATTGGCTGATTTTTTTTTTATAGATATTATAGATAAAATCATTTGACACGTATTTCAGGATTTTGCCGGCAAAAATTTTTTTTCGTTGATATTCACGATTCAAATATTGCCGATTTTCTCAATTTTCATGAACCTGCTCTGCATTATGTTAATTATCTTCAGTTGTGTTGATCAGATCAGTATTGTTGTTTTTTTGTTATATTCATTATAAACTCAACTTTGAAGTAATTCAAAAAAAATAATGTTTTTGCAATTATTTTAACAATAATAACAATTGATTGTTTACATTGGTTTTACATACGGGCGCCGCAACTTAAATCGATTACGTAAAAAAACATATTGTTTCTATTTTTATCCACTTAAAAATTATTTTTACTATTCGATGGGGTAGCTGTTACATCGGAAGATATTAAATGTTTTCAAGAGCAAGTCGCGCCGCGCGTCCGTTTGAAAGACGCATCGCGCGTATGATAATGTTTTTGCAATTATTTTAACAATAATAACAATTGATTGTTTACATTGGTTTTACATACGGGCGCCCCAACTTAAATCGATTGCGTAAAAAACCACATTGTTTCTTTTTTTATCTACTTAAAAATTATTTTTACTATTCGATGGGTGGCTGTTACATCGGAAGATATTAAATGTTTTCGAGCGCAAGTCGCGCCGCGCGTCCGTTTGAAAGACACATCGCACGTATTAAATGAGTACAAGTAATTTGTACTTTTGCGAAAGTAAGTAATTTGTAATTTAGCGAACAAATGAATGAATAAAACTCATTCATTTGTCGCTAAGTTATACCTAAAACATTTTTTTTTAATTTTCAAATTTTTTTACATGCTCTCCCCATACAAACTTTGATTGAATTGCGCTCTATCTAAACGTTAATATTAAGAGCTAAAACTTTCAGAGAATTGTTTTTTATCTATTTGGAACCATTTGAGCCCCTGGGAGCAAGGAAATTCGAAAATGACCATTTTAAGGACCACCCTAATATATATATATATATATATATATATATATATGTGTGTGTGTGTGTGCGTGTATGTGTATGCGGCGACACCTAAGTACAGCCCTGCATTAAGTACGGCCCTGTGTCATTTGGGATGCGCGCACGCATCAAGTCGGCCGCCTCCGTCCGATATAAAAGGGAGAAGACCTAAGCAAAGGGCCTATTCTACCTTTGGCAGCCAACTGTGATACACCAATACAATACAAATATTGTATCTATGTTCCACCACAAATAAACTATAGCAAACCATATCAAACAGTCTTTAATCTATCAACCGCTTCATTGGTGACCCGACATGATCTGATAACGGCTACAAATAGAGTGAGTGTTTTTTTTTTTTAATTGAATATGCAAACCTCTTTTGTGAAGTGTTTTAAAAGTGATTTTATTTTTTTGTGATAGAAGTGTTGTTTTTATTTTGCATTTTTAAGTTAATTTACAATGAAAAATCAAGTAGATAAAAAAGCCGTGCTAGGCCCTGCCAGTGAAAGTGAAGCGACAGGTACACTAGGTATAGCCAGACAAATTCCGCAATTTTGGTACGACGAACCGCAATTATGGTTCGCGATGATCGAAGCCTATTTTAATGAAAACCGGATAAAAAGTGAAGAAAGTAAATATGAACACATATTATCATTTCTGGACAAACGATTAGCTAGAAAAGTCGAAAACATCATAATTAATCCGTCGCCGGTCGACCCATACACAAAGTTAAAAACTAAAGTAATTAGACGGCAATCGCTTTCGGAAGACAAAAAAATTAGACGATTCCTGCAACACGAAGAATTAGGAGAACATGAGCCATCGCAATTCCTAAGACATTTAGAGTCGTTAGCCGGCACAACAATTGATCAAGTATTTCTAAAAACGCTTTGGCTTAAAAAATTTCTTACGTTCACGCAACAGGTCTTGAAAGCACATCAATCAATGAATGTTGAGGACTTAGCCGCTATAGCCGACAGCAGCGAAGTCACCAGTGCACCTGTGGGACCGAAATTAAACAACCTACAAACGACATTGCATTATTGTCACAACGTATTGAAGACTTCACGAAAACTATGACAATGCTGTTAAGTAATCAACAAAGTAGAGGTCGTCGACGCTTTCGATCAAGAAGCCAATCGCGTATTCGTAGTAACAGTAGAGGACACTATAGATTATGGTGGTATCACCACAATAAAGGCGGCTAGTGTTTGCCTACCATCATTCCGCCGCATGTTTGTCATATGGATCATTCTTTTACAAATCGTACGGATTTTGGTAAAAAAAAAATGACATTTTAGAATTGGCTGATTTTTTTTTATAGATATTATAGATAAAATCATTTGACACGTATTTCAGGATTTTGCCGGCAAAAATTTTTTTTCGTTGATATTCACGATTGAAATATTGCCGATTTTCTCAATTTTCATGAACCTGCTCTGCATTATGTTAATTATCTTCAGTTGTGTTGATCAGATCAGTATTGTTGTTTTTTTGTTATATTCATTATAAACTCAACTTTGAAGTAATTAAAAAAAAATAATGTTTTTGCAATTATTTTAACAATAATAACAATTGATTGTTTACATTGGTTTTACATACGGGCGCCGCAACTTAAATCGATTACGTAAAAAAACATATTGTTTCTATTTTTATCCACTTAAAAATTATTTTTACTATTCGATGGGGTAGCTGTTACATTGGAAGATATTAAATGTTTTCGAGCGCAAGTCGCGCCGCGCGTCCGTTTGAAAGACGCATCGCGCGTATGGTAATGTTTTTGCAATTATTTTAACAATAATAACAATTGATTGTTTACATTGGTTTTACATACGGGCGCCCCAACTTAAATCGATTGCGTAAAAAACCACATTATTTCTTTTTTTATCTACTTAAAAATTATTTTTACTATTCGATGGGTGGCTGTTACATCGGAAGATATTAAATGTTTTCGAGCGCAAGTTGCGCCGCGCGTCCGTTTGAAAGACGCATCGCGCGTATTAATTGAGTACAAGTACTATTTTTAACTAAAATATTTTACAACTTCGTTACTGAGGAAAAATAAATATATTTTCTAAAATATGTAGTAGCACATATTTTATACAAAATGCTCATATTTTTGAAGCTGATAAACTAAAACTTATTATTCGTTGGAATATGAACAAAAGTTAAATTAATTGTATTGGGTAGGTTTTATTTCGTTAAAAAATAAATACAAGAAAATGCGATTGAAAAATAATTCATTTATTGCATTTTAATTGAGTTTATATAACATAGCTTCTTTTGATGTACTACATAATATACATTCCATGTCACAACTTTAACAAGTTGAAAAACAGTTGAATCGCGTTCCTTTTGCAAAAGAAAGTTCTTGACCCGCACTTTACTTTTTTTAATAGGTATAATACAATGATATTCCAAGGTGCCTTTCACTGTGACCGCATTTTTAAATCTTGTCTTCAATTTCTTATCGGCAACAATATATTCTTCACTGGTGCATTCATTCTGTGATAGTTTTTCCTTTTTTGTCATAAAATCATTATGTTTTTTACAAGAAATGAATGTAATGATTTTTCCAAAGTGGCCTACTGGGAATATCATTAATTGCAACATAGTTCTATCAACGTTAGTCTACTCTCTGTACCTAATTTTGTCAATATAATTTTCCTCAATAATATTTTCTAATTCTGTGATCAAATTTTTTAGGCCAGGACACTGGGAGCACTTTCCAAAACAACAATTAAATACTACTACATATTTTAGATAATATATATTTTTTTTTTCAGTAACAAAGTTGTAAAATATTTTAGTTAAAAATAGTACTTGTACTCATTTAATACGCGCGATGCGTCTTCCAAATGGACGCGCGGCGCGACTTGCCCTCGAAAACATTTAATATCTTCCGATGTAACAGCCACCCATCGAATAGTAAAAATAATTTTTAAGTAGATAAAAAAAGAAACAATATGGTTTTTATGTAAAACCAATGTGAACAATCAATTGTTATTATTGTTAAAATAATTAGCAAAAACATTATTTTTTTTGAATTACTTCAAAGTTGAGTTCATAGTAAATATAATAAAAAAAAACAATACTGATGTGATCAACACAACTGAAGATAATTAACATAATGCATAGCAAGTTCATAAAAATTGAGAAAATCGGCAATATTTCAATCGTAAATATCAGTGAAAAAAAAATGTTTGCCGGCAAAATCCTGAAATACGTGTGAAATGATTTTATCTATAAAATCTATAAAAAAAAATTCAGCCAATTTTAAAATGTCAAGGTATGGTTGGTGTACGGTTTGTAAAAGAATGACCCATATACAGGACGCAAATATTCAATTTTTAATAGACACCAGCAGTGATCTCTGCATATATCTTCGACATCAAGAATTCCAGACTCATTGATGAAACAACTAATTTACAAACAAAGACAGTTTGCAGAGGTACTGACCTACAGGGAAGCATCAAAACGGTCAACATTACATGCAGATTTAGCAAAATTCTCTCAGAATTTCCTAATTTGACTAAATTACCTGGTCTACCACAAGAAATTAAGCACACGACGGTACATTATATCAAAACAATTCCTGGACTGCCTGTCTGATCGCAACCTCGTCCGTTGAGCACAGAAATGTTCAAAATAGCTAAGCAGGAATTCCAGGACATGATGCAGCTAGGAATTGCACAACCGTCAAATAGCCCTTGATCTTCACCATTGCATCTCGTCAAGTAGAAAAATGATGCATGGAGACCCTGTGAAGATTTTAGAATGCTGAATAATAGAACCATTTCTGATAGATATCCAGTGCGTCTCATATTTGATTACTCGCAGAACTTAGCAGGCTGCAATTTTTTTGCGATAATTGATTTGAAAAAAGCATACCAATAAATACCAGTATACAAAGAAGACATACCAAAAACCGCCATAACAACACCGTTTGAATTATTTGAGTTCCTTTTCATGACCTTCGGTCTGAGAAATGCAGCTCAAACCTTTCAGCGTTTTATGGGTGAAGTGACTCAATGATTAGCTTACTATTTTCCATACGTCGATGATATTTTGGTTTCCGCTAAAACCCGGAAGAACACGAGCTACATCTATGTTGTCTGTTCCACCGACTTACGGATTATGGTGTAGTAGTCAATGCATCCAAATGTTTATTAGGAGCGCCAGAAATGAAATTTCTTGGTTATCATATCGCAGAACATGGCACTAAACCACCAATCGAGAGAAAGGGTGCACTACGAGCATTCCCGAATCCACGTACTATCAAATCTCTTCGTAGATTTCTGGATATGATTAATTTTTATCGCAAATTTTGTTCAAAAGCTGCACAATACCAAGCAGAATTGCAATCTTTATTATCTGGACCTAGTACTAAAGAAGTTAGCCGTCTTCCAAACAGTTAGCAGCCTTACAAACATAATTGAAATTGGCGAAGCGCAAAAGGAGGATCAGGAACTTAAAAATTATCTGTCAAAGAAAGTTCATTGGAGCTCGAAAGCCAAGCCATTCCAGAAACAACGCGCAAGATATTTTGTAACATATCACAACATTTACCAAGACTATTTGTTCCAGCAGCTTTAAGAAATAAGATCTTTGACAACGTGCACAATCTAAGTCATCCAGGTGTTAGAGCAACAGTCAAAATGGTGACGAAACGCTTTGTTTGGCCAAATATACGGCGTGACTGCCGGATCTGGTTAAAGAATTGCATAAAATGTCAACGCAGCAAAACAGGTAGAAATACTATCACACCATTACAAAAATTTGACGTTCCATCTGCAAGATTTCTACACGTACATATTGATATCGTAGGTTCTTTACCAATTTGCAAAAGTGCGCGATATTTACTGACCTGCTTAGATAGGTACACCAGAAGGATAGAAGTTTATCCACTATCAGACATAAGTGCAGAAACAGTAACTTGGGCTTTTCTTTTTTATTAGATATCCAGATTCGGAATGCCAACAACAATAACAACCGAAGAAGAGACAATTAGACGGAGCAACATTCCGCAATATAACACAGTTTTGTGGAACGAAACTGATCCACACGTCTACATATTCCCCGCAGTCTAATGGCCTCATTAAAAATATACATCAAACACTAAAATCCGCTCTCAAGTGTCACGAAAATGAGTCGTGGTTAGAAGCGTTGCCATGGGTTTTATTGGGATTGCGAGCAGTGGCAAAGAAAGACTTGAAGAGTTCAAGCGCAGAACTCACTTTTGGAGAACCTTTAAGACTTCGTGGTCAATTTTTTAAAGATCACACGGACATAACAAGCACTACCGTCATGAACAATTTACATGGGATCTATAGGAATTTAAAACCACAGCCTACGTCATCTCATAGCCCGAGAAAGAGAGCCTTCGTCCGATATAAAAGCAAAAGGCCTATTCTACTTTCAGCAGCCAACTGTGATATACTAATACAATACAAATATTGTATCTATGTTTCACCACAAATAAAATATAGCAAACCATATCAAACAGTCTTTAATCTAACAATCGCTTCATATATATATATATATATATATATATATATATATATATATATATATATATACTAGCTGACCCGGCAAACGTAGTTTTGCTAACTATGGTATTTCTAAACAATTTCTAGGGATTAAAATAAGAATACTTTATTTTAGGAGTGTAAGGATGTGTTGTTTGAATAGTACATGCAATGAGGTATTATAAACACAATAAACCCCAAAGTCTACAAGTATAATAATGAATTATATAATTCATAATAAAAATATTTGTTTGTCCATATTTTGTTATTACAATCAAACTGGAAGTTTTATACACTTTCTATAAAAAGATGGTATAATTCAATCCAAGTCGTTTTTAGTCTTTAGCCAAGGTCAATGTTCAGTTGGTCGTTTTTCCCCCACACAGTAAGTTGGGTTATATAAAGAAAACTATTGATTCTCACCCAAAGTAAGATTACATTTTATAAAACAATTAAATAGCGTATAGTTAAAATTTATATTAAGGTCTTGTAGACTAAATCACAGTGCTTACAACCCAAAAAACTAACATCAAAAGGAAATACTTTTGTTAT